TCTTGGTAACCACCCCACTGATACCACTGGAGCTGCACTTATGTAGGGAAGCAGAACCTGTGCTATCCACACACCTCTTGCTGGTTTTACGTTAATGTTATAGTCGCCAGACCAATTCTAAAGTTATCCACCTGGGAGAGACCTGCACTTCATTCCCTGCCCCACCCTGCAATAGGTGTATGCTCTACTGAAGGGTCATATTTGTGTCCACCGTGCTTTATGCTGGTCCATTGGACGCTACCAGGAATAATCAGGACCGTAAGAAATGTCTCTATAAAAAGAAGATGCCCATGAGAGCTCAAAGGAGAGGCTTCCCATTTCCCAGCTGGGGTGCATGTTCTGGGCTCATATTATAGCTGGGCACTCTATGATAGCCTGATGAGGGCTGATGAGACTATCTGGTTTCCAGTCTAGGTTTTGGTGGTCTTCCAGTCACCCATGTCATGCCCTTCCTGCCTGGTTAGCAAGGGATGATTGCATCTAATCCCTGTATACTGTAGTGACTGGGCCCTTCTCCAAGGCTACCCAGGCAGACAGATAGAGGCTGGTCCATACCAGCGGTGTCAGGACAGATGGGACAGCATTCTCCAAAGGGGATCTCAGCATTGGTACAGTCCGAGGTATCATCGCAGATGACATCGTCACACAGGATGTTGCCATTGTCGCATACGCAGATCTGGCAGGGCTCGGGTTTCCATACGTCTGTGTTGTTGTACGCTAGTCCATCCTGTATGCAGCTTCCAGTTTGAACTAGGTAGACAATGAGAAAGAAGGGGAACACATCATGAGCAAGAGCTCAATCCAGAAGTTGCAGGATAAGAGTAAGCAGGAGGCTACAAGGGTAATTCTCAAGGCTGATCAGAGTTGGGGACTATTTTTTTCCTTAATCCAAGAGTGTTTTTCTTTTCTCCACAGTTCCAATAACACATCTCTCTTTTCTTTTTCCTCTTATCCTGGAACCCTTGCACACTCATCTGCTTCTCATCAGCTGTGCTCAATGACACAGGAAACATGCCAACCCCACAATAACTCTTTCCACTTACTTTGGAATTTAAACAAAACCTACAGCCAATTGTTAAATCCAACTGTAACTGCAACCTTTTGGAGCCTGAGCCAAGCTAAATAAAAATGTGGATTCTTCTAAAGGGAAGAGGGATGGAGCAGAGGGATGAGGGAAGGCAGAGGCCCAGCTACGAGGGGTTCTGCAGAGGGGAGTGGAATTTATTCTGTAATAGTCTGTTGCTTTGGGAAATTGGATCAAGTGAAAATGACTGGAGTGGGAAGGAAAAACAGCAAGTGTGAACTAGACTAGGGTCGAATGGAAGGCCAGGTGGGCTGGCTAGGCTGAAATAAGATCCAGGATGTGACCCGATCAGGTAGGCTTGGCTAGGCTGATGGGTGGGATGAGGGAAAGGGGAGTGTATCTGAAAAAAACAGATAGATTTCATACTGAGAAGTATGTGGAGGAGGATTTCAAGTAGGCAGGTTATTTTTCATAACGTGGAAATATTTTAAACACATTTCATATTTTAAAAACCTCCATGCTCTTTC